ACCAGGAGAACAGGAGATGGACGACGAACATAACAGTGAAGACCAGACTAGACTGCCATGCATGAAATCTGGCGTTATGACATTAGCTTTGAACCTTAGGCGCTTAGATTTGAAGACCCCGAGACCTTCATTCTAATCTTCCCTCCTCTCCTCGTTGGAATGTAAAACACCAGAAGGTTGACACGACACGAGCCTCCCGGTCCAAAAAGAGTGCACTTTCGAACAACGCTTACCTGACATAATCGCTCTTCCTCTCCAGGATCAGCAGTATGATGGCGCCGAGCGGCGGTAACCCGATATACGCAAGCACGGCCTCGTAGTTGATCCGTATGCCCAGACTAGTATCGAACTCGCTGACAAACCCTCCACCTCCTCCTCCGCCCAATCCTATTCCGCCTCCGCCTCCGCCCCCGCCTAAGCCGTCCTCGGAAGCATATCCCGCGTGCCACGAGCGCTGCGGTTGCGGGTGTTGTAGCGGCGGGGGAGAAGAGGCGGCGAAGTTGCGCTGGGACGGGCTAGAGGACTGCCGACGGTCAAACGACGCGCGCGGCGACGCAAAGCCCTCGGCCGCGGGCGGAGAGAACGGCCGGTTGTTCTCGGGCGGCGAGCTCTGGTATGGCGCGAAATCCATCGCGAGCGACAACTGCGACTCCTTGCGTTGGTCCTGCGGGTCTCTCTCGCTCGCGCGACCGCTGTCCGGGCGGGTGCGGGGCTCGACTCGACTCGATCTTTGACTTGATGCCGGCTTTCGCTATCTGCTTCGTCGGCTCTCGTCGACGGAAGTGATCGTAGGTGGAGCCGCGAGTATTGATGGCTTGCTGCACGTGGATGGGGGAAAGACGTTGAAAGTTGTCGCAGGTTTTCAGCTCCGAGGTTACGGATACGACGTGCATTAACGCAGCAAGCTGAGCTATGGCTTGGCGCAAACAATAGCCGTGTTAGTGATCTGCAGGGTCCAATTTAGCGCAGCCTTGCAGCGCACTTATAGTAGAGGTGGTCACTGTTGCAGCCACATCCCCTGTGATTATGCGGAGGTCCCACGACCGAACTTCCATTTATCAACGTTTCCAGCTATAGATAGCACATCATACATAATATGAAGCTACGCACTTAAAAACACCGAAAGTTAGTAGATAGCTAATGGCGGGATTGCTGGGAAGGGAAAGACTAATGCTATTTTCATATTAGGCCGGCTCTCACCCAAGTTGCCCGGTTTTGCCCGGGTGATACACTTGATAACTTCCGTAGGTTCATATACATTGTTTGCTCAAGATATACTGTTATACATCGCTTTGTAGCGCATACGGGTGGATAGTACACGCCTTCTAGGCAGTGGTCTCTTTCTCGACCTCGGCCTCCTTCTTGCCCCCGTTAGATTCTTCTTCCAGCTGCGTCCGTCTGCCCTCGAGAGCCAGCCATAACCCCTTGCTGTGACCCTCCAACGCTGTTGTAAGACCAAGGCCAGCATGCTGTAATAGGGAAACGAGCTGTGCCCGCAGTCCATCAAGACCGCCCTGGATACCACCAACCCATTTGACTCCGTCAAGGTCGAATGCCTTGTCCTCTATTCTGCCTCCGACAAGGATGAGTTTCTGGAATCCGCTCTGGGCAATGGGTTCGTGGTATCCGGGGTTCTTCTTCCGCGTAGGAGCAGGGAACGCAGGGGGTGACGGCGAGAGGACCTTGAGCACGGCTGCCAAGTGCGCCGGCGAGACCGAGGGGAAAGTTACGGCGGCAACGGGTCCTGTGATCAAGGGGCTGATCTGGCTATAGGTAGACGACTCATCCACGGCAGCATTCTTGATTGACTCGTAGGCTGTCTTGGACAGATCGTGTGTATACGTGTTCGACTTTTCAATCTTGTTCGACCTCCCAACCAGGTCCTCGGGTTTGAAGTAGTCGACAATTTTGCAGGCGACGCTAAACATGCGCGTGCGCAACACCTGGAACTCAACACTAGATGTGATATCGGCGGGGATAGTGCCGTCAGGCCTAGCAACGGGCGGCGGAACCTCTGCCAGGGCGGCACGCAGCTCTCGCCGTACGGCGGCCCATTCCACGGCAGTGAGGTTGTTGTGTTGGAACAAGAGCATTAAAGGTGTTGACCGCAGCATAGCCGTGTACGAGCGAAGAAGCTGGGCCTTCCTCAGGTCGGGCCGCCGAGCACTTGGAGGTTGATTCAGAGGGATATAGCCGTCGAATAACTTCAGAGGGCCAATAGGCATTGGGGAGCCTACTGTTGCATAATGCCTTGAAGCAGCCCTCGTCGCGTTCTGAACCGTGAGGGCTAACACTCTCGCCGCGCTTGTCGTGGTTCGCTGCAGAGCTCGCCCTACGCTACTGTGCGTAGAGCAATTGAGCCGCGGCGGCATTGCGGGCAATTCGACGAGTCGCAACTGAATTTGCCTTTTCGGACCTCCTCTACCTCGACCCTTGTGTTGTCGTCGTTGTACTCGTCGGCGGGTTGGTGAGCGTGATGGTCGTTGCTTTGACTGCAGACCAGACTAGCATCGGCCGGCCTTGTCGCAAAAAGCTGAGATGAAAATAAGTGGACCGTGCTTGTCGAGCTTGCTTCCCCCAAGCTTCTGCCCCAAGCACCGGATCAGGATCGGTCAGATCCGGTCAGTCGGAGGTCGGAGGTCGGAAGCTTCAATGTGCATATCTGCCGCATTCCACCGCCCCAATTGATAACTGTCCGATAAGGTAACCTTTGATAAAGCTCTTTAGTTTCTCCAACCACCCCTGTCCCTACCACACTACCCCTACCCCTACCCCTACCCCTCCATCGATTTAAGCATTGGAATGACAATGATGGCGGGGCAGCGAGACTACCGACAACAGTAACACTTCGACACTTTGGGTGCTATCCTACCACCTGAGTCATCTGCAGGGGCGGATGGGTCTGAAATTCCCAAGACTGCGAGCCAATTGAGTTGTTTTGGATAGGTATAGTTATGAATTCACTCAGCTTCAATCTCACCTCCGCCTCAACCTAGCTAACTCTGTCGTAATTCGGAGACAGCTCACCAGAAACTCGCTGAGAATATCCTCACCGAACTCGGCATCTTTGACGACATGGCCGCTGCAACGCAATCACAACCCAACTCGATTGCGATGCAAGACCAGAAAGTTCTGACCGACATTCGCCCTTTGCTTCAGCGTCTGTGGCCGGATCCCGCAAAGGAGAACGTAACAGCCCACGAGATCGCCGAGGCCATCTCGCTGATCTTCGTCAACCAGTTAAGCCCTGTTCAAACGGGCTCGCTCCTGACGGCCCTGCATTTTACGGGCTGGGACCGTCGTGCCGATGTCTTAGCCGAAGCCTCGGCCGCTATGCGCCGCCATGCGGCCAAGATTGACTTCCAGGGTTTGGAGAATGCCATATCAAGTAAACGGCGGCCGGAAGGGAAATATCTAGGCGGATTGGTGAGTTTTCTTTGAAATTGTTCTACCGAAGTTTGGCGTAGGGACTTAGAAACGTTACGCTAACTTATTGTGTAGTGCGACATCGTTGGCACAGGAGGCGACTCTCACCACACTTTCAATATTTCTACAACATCTTCCATCCTTAGCTCGTCTCTGCTCCTCCTCGCCAAGCATGGCAACCGCGCATCGACCTCAAAGTCTGGCTCTGCCGACTTGCTAATGAACATGGAACCAAAGCCTGCCCAGCTCGCCCGTATCACGCCTGACACTATCTCTACTGTTTACCAGTCCACCAACTACGCATTCCTGTTCGCTCCTATCTTCCACCCGGGTATGAGGCATGTAGCTTCCATCCGTAAAGAGCTAGGGTGGCGCACCATATTCAATCTTTTAGGCCCTTTGAGCAACCCCCTCGACGACGCTATCGAAGCACGTATGTTGGGTGTTGCTCGCGATGACCTAGGCTCCGTCTTCGCTGAGGCTCTGCGGTTGGCTGGCGCAAAGAAGGGGCTAGTGGTTTGCGGCCAAGAGCAACTCGACGAAATTTCATGCGCCGGACCTACTCTCTGCTGGCAGCTAGTTGAGGGCGGTAACGGCGTGGAGGTCGAGCATTTCTTGATCGAGCCTAAAGACTTTGGGCTCAGTGCACATCCGCTCAGCACTGTTTCTCCTGGCAAAGAACCTCATGAAAACGCAGAAATTCTCCGTAAGATCCTGCAGAACGAACTACCAGACGACGACCCCATCCTCGAGTTCGTGCTCATAAACACAGCGGCTCTATTTGTTGTCTCGGGTATCTGCGAAGCTGACACGAGTGACATGGGCCCTGGTGATGATGAAAAAGTCATCACGGAGAGAGGACCCGGTAATGGACGCTGGAAGGAGGGAGTCAGGAGAGCAAGGTGGACAATTAAAAGTGGTGAAGCGTGGAAACAATGGAATGCTTTCGCAGAAGTTACGAATACCTTGCCCATATAATCTTACTGAAATTTTAATACGGAAAAATGCAAGATTATGCTGATGAATTGCGGGTGAGATTTACTAACGGGCGTTCAGCATACAGAAACATGAGGAACAGCTATATAGGTAAGCTAGGTAGTAATTTGGTACTCATTCAACTTTCTCTTTACCCATCGGTGTGTGTCGCTTTAAGCTGGACTCTGGAACGGCATTAGATAGTTGTCTAGGAGTCAGAACATGAATATGTCTCCTTCATTATGCATTGGCAGCTAGTTCTAATGTATTCTTATACCTATGTCCGTCATATTTCCCTGGGTACTCATTGTCATTCGAGACTAGCCCACCACAAACCGTAGACAGCCTCATAATATCCTAGAGCTCGTGAGAATGCATGTACGACCTTCCCAGATGATACCTTTAATGACAGTAGCCTCGATCTATCTAAGCTAGTAGGCACCCAGAGTCTACTATAGTATTATGATGATGATGGAATAGGGGGTTCCAGTACTAAAACAAAAACACTGAAAGGAAACCCCCCAATCGAGATGTTTCAAAAACAAGAAAAAACAACAACTGCAATGGAGGCAAGCAAGCGAATAAAAAGGGATAGGTAACTCTCGATCGGGGAATCGAACCCCGGCCACCTGCGGCTTGTTCCATAGCTGGACTAATCCACAAAGTGAATCGAATCGCTACTGGAATGACAAGCAGGTATCCTTACCACTAGACCAATCGAGATTTTGTTGTTTTGTTAGTGACTCGTGTGGTGGTTGAGCGAGCGTTGTAATGAGGGCTATACCGCTCGCGATTTAGTTTGGTGGAGTTCTATAAGAAATGTTGCCCTACACTAATCTAGGATCCTGACTAACTGTCTGCTTATTAACTGGTAGTCGAGGTAGACCGCCGCTCTTAGAGGTATACAGGTAGGTCAGTTATGTGCCATAACAGGAACTTCTTTTATGTTCCGTTTCATTTTGTGAGTAGTCAAACGTATGTACCTGTTGTTGAGAGCATTAGAAACCGCTGGTTAAGAAAGGAGACAGAAAGCGGGAAGTGATCTGATGAAGATATGAATTCATTTTCAAAATTCTATGAGAATCCTTACCAGCTCGCGCGTGCAGGTAAGGTCATGTTCAGTTGAAAATTTCGTGCAACTTTATCATAGTGTTAAACTACCGTGCAGGGGTTAATAACTATGTTCCTAAGGCCAATAGTAAGTGATGTATCGCTCAGGTACTTCCGCATATCCATATGGAGAATCTTTATCACAATGTTCATGTAGCGATTTCCTAGCTCGAGGTATAAAAGCATCAGTGCGATGAATATTGAGGTGAAATTTAGGCAAGCGAGGTAGGTCGTTGCAACTGATGCCTATCGATACACAGCACAGACAATAGCATTCCGCCGGAATTGCCAAATTTTGTTCCGTTTAATGACCGCCTCTTCCCCTAAAACGCCGATAAACCTTTCGCCCTAGCCCATCATCATCCTATCTGGACAGCACTCCGCGAACAGTTCCCTTTAACGTCGGCTTTCCCTCAAATAGCTGCTCACCGATGCCAGTCTTACCTCCGCTTCCAACATCAAGCCATCTAGCTAATAAGTCGTTACTTTCCTTGGGTTTGACCCCGTCATCACGTGTACCCACAGTGATGTGTGCCACCTTGTTGACGCAAGCCCATGTGTTATCTTGATCTAGTAGCCGCACCACAATAGCCATTATGCGGTCGTCGAAGACGACACGCTCGAGCATGACATCGCATTCCCCAACCTTGTTATCAACGGACTGGCTCTCAGCTTCGAGGGTAGTGTAGCGCTGCCATAGTTCAGGGTATTGTTTAGCGCTAGACTTGTGTATAAGTGTAACGTGAAAAAGAGGCTGGATGCGCCGTGTCTGCTGGAGCTGCTTGTAAAATCTCTGCGTTGGTGGATCGACGCTCTTGAAGGCCGACTCGAGTGCCACGTTGACCTCTTTGGCGGGAACTGAGATAGACATATACTCGAGCGACTTCTTCTTTTTAGAATCGTGTGATTGTTGGGTCTCTTGTCGCTTTTGATCTCTCTTACTCGTGCGATCAGGTATCTGATGTTTTATGCTCGGTATGTAGTCTTCAATGGCACGCTTGACAGCCGTATCCATATCTTCCGCACTTGGTATGTTCGGAATCAGCAACGGATATTTCTTATGGAGCTCAGTAACTGCTTTCTCAACGTTCGCACGACTACTCTGAGCAGGGTCGAGGTCGATAACGAAATCGAAGCCATCGTCAGGGCTGCTTTCCGGGTTGCAAGGCTGGAATCTATGTATGAAATTCTCCATAATACCAATGACCTTATTCTCGTCCGATGCCGCCTGGATAGTTTGATGATTATCGCCACGTTTCAATACGCGCTCTCTTGTAACTCTTCTGACTTCATCAATATTGCTATGAGCAAAATTGAGAGCTACGAGCCTGGCATTCTTGTGCTGCATGAGGATGTCTTTGATGATTTGCTCTCGCTCTCGACGTTCAGAGTTATTCCGGTCAGCAATAACGACGGGATGCTCCATTAAAGAAGACATGACAGCCTGGACCATTCTTGCGGGACGACCCTTGCCCTGGATATTGTCGTTCTGGATGAGACCCCAACCAAATAGATGAGTTAGCGCCACACCAACAGTGGTTTTGCCGCATCCAAGAGTAGCGATCGGTACAAGGACAACGTTGTCTGACACGCTGGAGGTATCATTTCCAAATACATTCTCAAAATTTGCAGCATCAGAACCTTTCAGATTCTTATACGCTAGGAATTCGTCCCGAAGAGAGATGATGCCGTGATTCTGGTTGTAAAGCTTGGCCAATTTCGGATTCTTGGCCAATCTTTGACGAGCATACAGTAAGTACTCCTCGGTGATCTTGGTATGCTTCCTGAACTTGGGGGGCTTCCCAGAAATAAGGGCTTTGGTGCATTCTCGCCATTGCCGGTACATCAAGTACGGCTCTTCGAATTTGTATTTGAAGAACCAATCGATGTATTTTGTTTGTTCCACATCGGATGCCAGTCCACAGCGGATGACAAACCCTTCAACATCTCGACCCTCGTGTGCACCAGACTCGGCAACCTCCTCTAAGAAATTCTTGACCGTGTCGATATCATCAAAGACTTGTAGCCCAACTTTTCGAAAACCCCACTCATCTGCGAATTGTTGCACAAGACCGCTAGGATATGTCATGAACTCTGGGATGTTGACGTTGATACCGTGAAGGTACAAGCCGGCCTTGTCCGGACCGTAAGCTAAAATGTGTTCCTCAAAGTCATCGTCGCACAGTTCGGCAACTGCTGTGACGTTTCTACCCCGTAACTCCCGAGCAAACTCTTCTCTAGATTTGCCAATGGTAGCCAACTGTTTGTCCACCCATCTCTCGCCAGCACTGGCATGGCTCACCTCGACATCACTCCGGTCTCCAGTCGAATGCTTGCTGCAAACGAGCAGGGTTCCATCTTCTAAGCCGCTAATAAAGATGATACAACCGTTCTCTTTCAAAGTGAGCTCGTAGGGACCTCGCGTCCTGCGCCTGATGTTCTCCCACTTCGTATCGAAAACCTCACTGACGTTAAAAAATTTATCATAGCCTCTCACGGCGATCTCGTGATCATTATGGCGATTCTTGGTGGTGAAAAGGCCGCGCGCATAGGTAGGTAGATTAGGTTTCTTGTAATCCCAGTCTTGGAAGCGCCACGAGTCGACACTGAGGCCGTCTGACGATCCGGGGATCTTAAAAGTCGTCTTCTTGACCTTGAATCCCCTCGCTGCCTTGTCGGTCCCGCCATTCAGAGCGCGAACGAGTTGGGAGTTCTGCTGAGGGTCCTGCTCACAGTAAGGAGCCTTGGAAAGATCCATGATGAGCTGGTGGTCGGGGTATGAATAATCGGAAAGCCCAATGGTCCTAGGTGGTGATAACCTGGGTTGCGAGGCCAGGTAAGCGTGATAAACTCTCGACGTCCCAATAGTGAATCTACCAATTCTAGATGTAACAGATGTAGAATGAAGAAGTAAGCTGTGAGTGTAGTAACAAGTCAGCTGGCTAGTTGTACTTGCTACTTGTTCGTTTGTTATATGGAGGTGGGGGAACGGTAGGACAGATCAGATGGGCTACAAAGAGGGTTTATTTATCTGAAGCCTTTTAGTACCTAGTGTAAGACACACAGTACACGACATAGACTGTGCGAGCTGGAATAGAAGCAAAAAACCTGGAAGGATTACCACCTCTTGTGCAGGGAGGCGAGAGCTGGCCGCATGAGTCACTCGCCCAGTGACTTTACTCTTTTAGTTGCTGGGACTGTCTATGTAGGTGACTTAGGTACCTGTTGTTAAGGGCGTAGCAGATACCAAGGCTGGTAGGGTTTGAATGTTGAGGTAGGTAGGTTATTGCCTTGGGATGGGTCAACCTAGAATTGTTCCGCCTTTACAAGATATTGCCATGAGCTCTTTTGGCTAAGACACGCCTCCTAGGATCCTTAGGTGCCTAGGTAGCTACTTAGTAGAAAAGTTGAAATGACATTCCAATCCAATGGGGGTTGCTAGCCGCTTTTGGTGCGGCGCCCTACCTACTTAGGTCTGCTATCGCTGCGATTCTTCGTAAACCCCACTATGAACCCTTTGGCGCGGGTTTGGCGGGGTATTTGACCATGCGTCACACCGTTGAACCCCTCCAAGGAAAAGCTCAGCTACTGGTATCTCATTACCTATATGGTTTGTCTCTCCTGTTCAACCCAACAGCGTTGTCTTATCGAAAATTGCCTCGGCCCTAGCCTTGATAACTTATTTGTTGTATAGAGAATTTCACTTGTGGTCATCAAGATTCCTCAGAGCCACCACAATGCCTCCAAATCCATTCCTTCTCGCCGCTGACAATAGTCCGGCTCTTCTGCCCCTCCTTCGCGAAAATCCAGCTCTAGCCAGCCAACAAGATGAACACGGCTACTCTCTACTCCACGCCGCCGCCAGTTATAACCACTTGGACCTTCTGCGTACCCTTGCCCGGGAGTTCAAGGTCGATGTCAACCTTCGCGACGAAGATGAGGAGACTGCCTTATTTGTTGTTGAGACAGTCGACGCTGCCAAAGTCCTTATCGAGGAACTCGGCGCCGAGGTCATTATTAAAGGATCTGACGGCTACACTGCTCGCCAAAAGATCGCCGAAGAGGACGATTTTCCAGACGTTGCCGAGTATCTCAAGCTTAAAGAAGCAGAGCGGGCCCGAGATCTTTTGAATGGGGCTAATGGCGAACCTGTACAAGATAGCAGTGACATGCCACCATTACCTGAAGGACTCAACTTTTCTGTCAGCGCCGTCAACCCAGCCGAAAGCGACGAGAACGAAGTCGACCCTGAGTTTAGAAGAAGGATAGAGGAGTTAGCCCAACGTGAAGATTTTCATAGCGAGGAGGGTCAAGCTGCGCTTAGAGGGCTTATCCAAGATGCAATTGCCGATGGAAACCTCGCAGATCGCAATGTCCGACCCCGTCAAGGCTGAGCGTGGCCAGAGACATATTTTCGGCTACGATCACAAACCAACTCGAGTACTCATTCGTGCCCCTTGATCTCCCAGAGAACATATTCTCCTGGGCTGCTTGGCGGTCTCATAATGGTACAATCTACACCATACCCAATAGCAACTCGACTAAATGGTGTGGTACTCAGTGAAAACCATGCTTTTGGTGGCAGCGTTTTGATCAACTCCGCTAAAGTGTTT